GTAGCTAATTCTTAAAAATATAAAATAAATAATAAATAAAAATAATAAAAATAATAAAAATGAATTGAATGGGATCTCTGAATAGATAAGATCCATAGAGAAGAAACTAAATATTATAAACTATATTCTGAAAGATAAGTTTTATTATGAATATAGTTTATAATAAGTTTTAAGAGCAAAAACTGAATTATTTATAAAGATAAAGAGAATTATAATTATTCTAAAGATTTTCTAGTGTCAATACTTACAAGTATTATATTAATACAAGGCAAAAATGAAGTAAAACAAAAATATAAAAATCAAGTTGTGATCATGAATACTAAACTAAGAGATAGTATCAAAAACTAAGCAATAAATGCTAAAAACTAAGATAACAAATGTCAAATGCAATAAATACAAAAATAAAAGTAACAAATACTAAACTAAGCTTTTATATATAAGAAAACTTACAAGAATCTTCTAAATTAAATAAATATACTTGGCTTATTTTAAGTGAAAGATATCCATTACCTAAGTTTTTTAGGTAAGAAAAACTTGTAAATAATCAGAATATAATTTATTATAATAGAAAAGGTAAATAAAAATAAGATATCAAGCAAAGATCAAAGAAAAATTACAAGATAAGTATAATTCAAGTATTTTTAAAGAATAATTGAATTATTACTATTCAAGTACATTTATTTTAGATCTTAGAATAAAGATATTTATATATTTTTAAGATTTTATAAGTTTCTATCTAAACTTATTTGCTATTCTAAATTATAATTACAAAACTTGAGACAAAAGATCAATAAATAAACAAGTAAAATAAAGAGATAAGAAATATGTGATAAGTTATAAAATAATACAAATAATAAAATAAAATAAAAAAATAAGATAGATATTCTAAAAAGAAAAAGATAATAATAAAAATAAATGAAATTTATTACTGAATCATTTTTAAAGTATTTCTGAACTGTTATTAAACTGTTTGTGAACTATTATTAATTTTAGAGCTAATTATTCATTGATGATCTTGAAGTGTTATAAAAATATTATATAAATATTGCAAAAATATTATTAAATCATAATTAAATCTATAATTAATATACTAATTATATTATTCTAAATTATATATTTTCTATAGATTAATTAATTAGTTACATTTTTCAAGCTCAAAAAATTATAAAATTAAAGAAATTTATGTTATTATAGTAATATTATAAAGAATTAAAGAGTATATCAATTAAAAATCTTTTTAAATAAAGATAATAATTAGTTAAATTACTTTTATAATATAGACTAAAAGATATTTATAATATTAATAAAACTATTTTTTTTTCAAATAATATCTAATCAAATACTTATAACAAGACTGGTTAAAGAAAAAAAGAAAGATAAGAAATAAATAATTATTTTATTATATATAAATATAATAGTATAAATAAATTTAAATCACTTATTATAGAAAAGTTAACAAAACTTTAATATTTTAAGAATATTTAGAAGGAGAATCTTAGTATCAAGTATGAAATTAACAAAAAAATATGAATAATTAGTAATATTTTTGGATGATAGATAAAGTTTTTAAATATTACTAACTAATTTAATCAGAAAAAAAATCTTAAGTTAAAATATATTAAAGTTTATTTTTTATTATCTAATACTACATTTTATTTATAATTGTACAATGCTAGAATAATTAACTTATTTAAAGTTTATTATTAAAAATTATATCTTTAAAGTATTTTGGATACTATAGATACTAGAAATAAAATATCTTATTTTAATATTAAAGAAATAATTAATTTTAGTGTAGAAATATAGAAAAATATGATCTCTCAAATAATTATTAATTATTGATAGAAAACTAAAATAGTATTATTAATTAAATAGGATTAGCTGAATTTAGATATATAATATAATAAAAATACAAGACCAGAAATTAATATTAAATAACTTATTTTTAATATTCTTGCTAGTATATAAGTAATAATAGCTTATAATTATATTTATCTTAATGATATTATTAAAATAAAAGAGATTATTATAGATAAAAAAGCTATTATAAAAGAGATTCTTTAATTATCTGATCATAGTAGTAATAAAAATAATGAGATTAAGATTGAGAAAATTCTATATTTTATTACTTTAAAGTAGTATAAATTATTTTTATTATATATAAAATAACAGGATCTGAAATTTATAAAAGAATAAGACTTGTTAGGATTATGAAGTTTATTATAATATATTTAAATAAATATATTCTAATTAAAATAATAAAGAAAAGTAACTGATTTTTTTACTAAGAAAATAACATAAGCTTCTCAATAAAAAAAAGATTTATTTGAAAAGCTTTAATAAGCAGACTAAAGAGAAATATAAAAAAATTATATATATATAAGCTAAAAACTTCAAAAAAATCTTTTAATAAACTTATGACTTATTAAATAATAATACAGACTAATAATATAAATCAATAATAATACAAACTAATAATAATATAGATTAAGACTAATAATAATATAAATTAATATATTTATTATTATATATTAATATGAAATATTAAATATATAATTTATTAAATTCTAACTCTAATTCTATTTCTTGTAATTATTAACTTTCATATATATTAATCAAATTATTTAGTTTTATAATATTAATAATAATAAGATCAGATTATAATTTATAAAATATAAATATTTAATAATTTTAAATATTATATATTATAATATTTTAAATTAATCTTAAATTAAGCAATTTAATTAGTTAAAATTAAGATTTTGATTAATTAGATTATTTAATTTGAGATTAATTTAAAATATTATTCTTTATTTTTATATTTTTATATTATTTTTTTAATAATTTTACTTTTATAATTTCTTTTTTTAAATAATTTTTTATTAAAAATACTTATTATAACTATAATTAAAAATTATAATTATAATTATAATTATAAAAAAATAAATTATAATTCAATTATATTTATTTTTTAATTATTAATATGATTTAATATAAAAACTTTATATTTCAGATAAATATTAATAAATTATTTTTCAAAATAAAATTTTAATTCTGTTTTATTTAATTAATTATTAAATATTAGAATTTATTTAAATATAAAAATTTTTATTATATATCTTTTATAAAAATTTTTACTATTAATAACTTTTTTAAATTATTATTTCTTAAAATTTACTATATAAATTTATTTAAAATTAATATAAATAAATAATTTAATTATTAAACTTGAATTATAATTTCTTTATAACTATTAATTTAATTTTTATAAAATTTAAAATATATATTTATCAAATTTAAGTTAATCTGCTTGTATAAGTTAAAGCTCTAATTTATAAACTAATAATAATAATATTTAAAATATTTTTTTTTAAAAAAATAATTTTATTTTAATAAAGTATTACTTTTTATTTATTATTAAATTAAAATAATTAAAATTATATAAAAAATTAATTTAGATCATTTTTTATTTAATATAAAAAATTATAAGATTGATTAAAATTTGTATAATTTTTATTAAAAGTAATTATCAATTTTTATATTAAGATATAAATCTTTTGTATTGAATTATAATAGTAATAAAAATGATAATTTTGAATTAATTATTAAATTATATAATATTTAATTAAGAATATTATTATTAATTACTGGTATTATTACTTTTTATTAATAATATTATTAAAAAATTATTTGATTTTTTTAAAATATATCTATATTATTTTTTATCTAAATTAATAATTTAATTTATTAATTAATTCTATAAATATATTTGACTTTTTTATTATATTAAATTAACTTTAGCTAAAAAATTACTCTTCTCTTGTAAAATCAAAAATAAAATTAATTTCTTATTTTATAAATAAGTTAAAGTATTTATATTAAGAATTTGAAATTTTTTAAAATTTAAATTTTCTTAGTTTAAAATGTTAATCTAAAATAAATTTTGAAATTTTAAGTAATTAATATCTAGTTTTTTTTTAAATCTGATTTATATTAAGTACTCTGAATTTTATTAATTAACTAAAATAAATTTTAAAACATTTGAATATTAATTTTATTTAAATTTTTCTAATTATGAATATTTTATTTTAGAAAATTCAAATATTAGTTTTATCCTATTTTTCAAATAAGTAAATTTAATTAAAAATTATAAAATTAAATTTTTATAATAATTATTATAAATTATAAATTTTTTATTAATTATAGGAATTTTTCAAATTATATTTGATAGCTTTTACTTATTATATTAATACATATATAATTAATTATTTTTGATATATATAAACAAAAATTATTGTTCTTCTAAATTCTCACTTTTAATAATAAAACACAAAAAGTTTGCCTTTAGATTAATAAAATTTAAAGTACATGTATATGTATAAAATAGTGGTTAATACCTTTCCCTATTTTGGAAATCAATGTATTTGACATGATTACATGTATTCGTAGAAATATTTTTTGCAATTTCATCTAGTTCTTTCATTTCTGCTTATTTAGTTTAATTTCTTCATGCGTTTAGGATATTCTAAAGAACTGTAGTTAAGTTATTATTATATACATGTATATGTATTTGAATCAGTTGTCTGTGCATTACATTAGAGAATTAAACTAATAATAACACATTCCGAGCAAAGATTTCGCGTGGATTTTGGCTGCTCGTTGAAGCCACATGTATTCGATGTTGTTTTTTTCTTCGTTTCGTAGCAAAAAAAGTATTATTTTGGAACGTAGTGTTTTCTCTCAAATCGAGAAATCTATAATTTTTGAGAAAAATATGTAATCTATTTTAATGTGAATTACCTGTCAAGCATTTCAAAAATAAAGTTTATGTTTATAAATTAAACAAATAGGGTCAACTTTCCTAAATGCAACCTCTGCGGACCATGATAAAATGTGCATTTAGAGAATAGAGATAAATTTTATAAGTATGGGACGGACGGAACTAGTGTAGAGTGCATTTGACTGTTTGTAAATAAATACATGTATCATATTCGGTGAATCTACAATTCGTCTCTTAAAACCTCATCATTTTTGCTTTCTCCCCAGCTAAAAGCACCAGAACTCATCCCGCTAAAAATTTCATGAAAAATCTTTTCTCCTTTTTCTTCACTAGCAGCACCAGCAATAACATGTAACGGCACCAAATGCTCGGTAGTCGGATGTGCTTCTTTCAAGAAGCGGTGGTTTTTCAAGTCAATCAATTTGTTTTCACGTTCCTTTCCAAGAAAATTTTTTACTATGTTGGTGACATCTTTATCGAAAGTTGTAGCGTATTGTTTCGGCAGCATATTTGGTGAATTCGAATCGGAAAAAAAATCGCGAAGATTATGGACTAACGAGCCAGAGCCAATTAGAAGAATGCCTTCTTCCCTAATAATATTATTAATTTTTATTAAAGAAAAAGGTATGATTGAATATACAGTCGCACCTCTCTATAAGAAAGAACAAAGTTGGACCAGAAAATCTAGTTAAAGATATAAAGTGTTCTTATAGAGAGGTGCAACTGTAACAAATAAATGAATATCGACAGAATTTACCTTAGAGATTCAAGGGCTTTACCAACTTTTATATGAAATTCAAAAGAAGCGTCACGTTTCAATGATACTTGAACTATTGGTACGTCGCCCGGTTCTGGAAAAAGAAGTTTAAGAACGACCCAAACACCATGATCAAATCCTCGTGTTTCATCTTTAACTGCATCTATTTTCGACTAAGAATAAATATAATATTAAGTTTTGCTATAAGAGAACTATTAAAAGAAAATAAAATTTTTACCTCTGTTAGCAAATCAACAATTTTCGAAGCCAATTCCGGGGATCCTTTATTTTGATATTTTTGCTGATACATGATATCAGGAAATCCATAAAAATCATAAATTAATGGCGTCTCATCTTTAAAGCTGCTGACTATAAAACAATAGTAAATGTTTGGTTCCTATAAAATTTTGACCTGATAACTTTAAAACATATACTTTGATTTTTACCTCGAATTATATCCGTAGTTTGCCAATGAGCCGAGACGACAACTATTGCGGTAGGTTTGAATTGCTTACGAATTTTTGAACCTAATTGCTTTAAGAATTTGTGATGATTCTCGTGGGTATCGATTACCAATGTTGGCCCTATAAACATGTACGTAGTTGCCAAAATTGTAAATTAGACGTTACATGTACAAAGTGATAAGATGTATAAATAGACTTTCATATTTAACCTCCATGACTTATATAATATACAGGTAATCTTTTTGAGTTTGATATAATCGAAGCAGACATTCTGACTTAATTTAAAGGTAAAATAATGATATTGTCTTTGATTTTTCGTCCTAATTTATACATTTATACACATTCAACATTTACCATTACTAATTGAAAGCACCATTAATTTGTAATCATCGTCGATTAATAATCTTTGCGGTTTACCATATCTCGTGACAAATGTAATGCTATGGTTGATTTATATACCGATACCCGATATCAAATAGTTTAGCATCCAGAAATTGGGGTATTACTTTTTTTATTTACATCAGCCACCTTAAGAGTTCCATTTAGGAAATCGTGTAATAATACTACAGTCAATATTTTGTATATCACACAATTTTACGCACTTAACGTTAAGTAAGAACCGGCAATAAGATTTTGTGACTTGCAAGATTTATTACTTAATCATCAATCTTGTAATTTTCGTGAAAATAATAACAAACTGATTCTTATAGTCACAAAAAAAATTGTCTAAAGAAAAAGAATAAAAATAGCGATACATGTGCACGAAAACACCCTTCAAGAACAATGTAAGGTTTGTTTTCCATTCATCTGTTTCAAAAATGACGGTATTCTTTAAAGCAAAAGGACAGGTAGTTTTAGCAAGGGAAATTTAGATCAAGAAAAATTGTATTTAAAACATAAAACGTTAATTTTATGTTAGCAAAATAAAATATAAAAAAATAATCAAAAAGTTGACATCGTCAATTGAAGTTTCATTCTACATTAATAACCTCAAGAATATGTTGCGCGGTCGGGATCGGATATTTGTGACGTTTATTCAGAAATATAACGAGACTCTGTAAATTTTGGGGTGAATCTTCCAGAAACCGTTTGAAAGACTCAAAATCATCCTGACTGATTGCCGGCACACTTAAGTTTTTAATTAATGGACAATATTCTTTTACAATTTTTAGAATGTCAGTTGTTTCCCTGCCATTTATTATCGAAAGATCATCTGATGAAGGCTTGTAATAAATGTGCTCGATCTTTTCAGAGTTGTTTTTGATCAAATTTTTCATTAGTTTAACCCATGCTTTCGTAGATTCTTCAAAGTGAATATCTCTAAGGTTGGGAAACCTTGAAGAAGCTAAGGGTTCTAACAGACCATCATCTGCGGATGTGCAATATTTGATTGATATTTGTATCAATTCGCGGCACGAAGCTAATCCTTTTAATAAATCACGTGGTGCTTCACAGAAATCGATATAGACTAATTCTATGGAAAGGAGAAAATTAGCCTGTTTTGATAAAGCCACCAATGGCCTGTATAAGTATCCATGTAATTTAAACTCTCTGAGCTTATTTTGTTTAGAAATAAAAGAGTACATATTATTGGATTCAAAATTGCTAATGGCGTAAATTTCGAGCGTTTTGATATTTAAGGATAACATTTCTAGTAGTTTAGTGTCGTAAATGTAATTGAGCGAGAGTCTTTGGATATTTTGATATAAACTTTTAGATTCTGTTTTAAAGTACACATCACAGAATTGTTTGCAAAAGTCAATTTGATGCCAATCAAAAGAAATCTTTATCTTAGTTTGGTCTTTTAAAATATGCTGTAGTATGGAATGACAAATTTCGACACTTCGTTGATTCAGATCTTTTCCAGAAGCTCCAGAATCACATTTTGGCGTGCCATTATATTCCATGTATTCTTTAATACAATTATATAACTTTTGAATACTTAGATTTTTGCAAAAGTAAGTGTAATTGTATAGGGCACATTTACTCGCGTCTAAACAACGAATGTAACTCGAAGCCAGTAATATCGGATGCATGTGAACAAATGGATTTTCCCAATAAAAGCAAATAGCAGATCTAGCCCATAGTCGGCACGTGAGAATACAAGCAAGCAAAGACTTGTAGTCGATACGCAAGCACTTTAAAATTTCAAATATAATGTCTTTGTTAAAAGGGGTACGGCTGTTAGTGAATGAGTCAAAAAAGGGGTAGAGATTGTTGGTTTATGTGGAAATATAAAAAAGAGTGTAATGAACTTTGTATCTCGTGACGATGAACGTTCGTAAAGGTCGACGGACTTTCGTAAGGGATCGATGGTCGTTAGATGTGAGGAAATTAAAGAACAAAAAGGAAGAGTCCCGCTTTTATTAAATTGATCTACATAATACCTTTCCGTTTTTCAGCGTTTGCGCACTCCTTTCTATGAACTTGCATTGCAATTTTGAGAAAAGTTCTAGATTTTTGTTTTCGCAATGCATTGCATCAATTCTCTTTCAGGTTATTTATGAATACGATAAACATTTTACTTAAATCCATTGTTTTTTGTATAACCTAAATGATTTCTTTTTTTCGTCATTATATTATATTGTACACGCATATAAAGAGTAATTTCCCTGTCATTGACATTAATTTCCTATTGAAAGTTTGGACACCTGCATACATAACCAAACATGTATGTCCGTTGTTTTTGCGTAACTAAATTAGATTCCTTCCAGGATCCGACATAAGATATTTGTGTAATTAGAATTTCTATCAAAGATTGCTTGGCGCGAATATATTCTGGAATTTTTTGTTTTCGAATTCGTTTACGCTCATTCTTAAAATGCTTAAAATGAAAAGTGCGGCGATCTCGTTTCAAATTTGAATACAAACATAAAGGGTCAAGAGATTTTCATTTGTCAGCTAATGTGATTTTCGTGGCGTTAATGTATATCTTCGGGAATAACGATTACTGTCTCGGCAAAATACTGTGCCGAGTTTTTCACTGCTGATTTGACTCCCACATGATTGAATTAAATCTAAATCGTTTTGGAGTCGAATCAGCATAGTTTTCCTCAGCCAGAAAGTTTTGATTGGACAATGAAAAATCAATCGCTGATCGATTACGCAATATTTGAACTGTTCGAAGAGCTTTTCCGGGGGAAATTGTTTCATGATTTAATTTTGTCCAATCAGCGGTGAGATTTTCCATTGTCCAATCAAAACTTCGGAGGAAAATATATACATGTAGTATTCTAAATTCTCTGATTAATTTATCGATATGTATGACCGTTGCCATTATGTCATAATCATTATGTATGTCACCCCATTATTACATCTAATACGGACTATATAAATACAAGTAGTTTTTTTTTCTCCAACACTACAAAAATAGTTTATTCTCAAGTACTGAACTTAGTTTTTTTCTCCAACACTTCAAAAATAATTTATTCTCAAACAAAATGGTATTCAAATATGGATACGTTGTTGGTAACTATTTACACACGAAAATTTTTGTTTAATATCTTATAATAATGAAATTTACTAAATCTACATTAGGTGAGCATATTGGCTCAATGGCTATAACTTCTGGAATGATAATGCAGCCGTCACATGTGCCAGATGTAATAAATCTTTCTGTTACTAATTCTTCAAGATTTCTATTAATAGGGACAAAGTCAGGTAAATCATCTTAACATGAAATTTTGATCCTCTTAATCACAACATTCAATGACTAAAATCTTATATACTTCAAAAAAGAGATTCTCGAATGGTTAAAATATTACTCCAAGATAATTATACAAACTTCATTGTTCGACGATCCAAATGAAGCACCACATATAAAAATCCCAGATGTCGTAGTCGACTTACTTCCATGCTATAGCTCTGAAGCGCACACAATCCATCAAAAATCTTTTCTGGAAACGATAAACCCGCTTGCACATCCCAATCCAGCCACAGAACCTGTTCGTTTGGAATTTCGCGCCGTGAATACCAAGTTAGATGAGGAAATTAGCGAGCCATATTTTCGATTGGTTGTGGAAAGGGGAAAAACGATTGGCGAGATTTATAATGCGATCGTAAATGCTTGGGATCAAATCGTGTACCCGAGTATGCTAGATAATCTTGTGAAGGTAGCTACTGTTCCTGTGCAGGCTGTTAAAGAGGCATTTAACAATATGTAAACGACTAGTGATTGTGGGTCGTAATTCTGGATTCAATATTTAGTTCCTTTTTATATAAATCTTTTAATAACTGCTATAGTTAAATATATCTGTAAGGATAATTAGAATATCAAGTTTCTTTCATTTATCAAAAATTCATGGCTATGTAATCTTCAAACGACTACTATCGAAAAGATGGTCTATTTGACAACGATACGAGTTTAAACTCTTCTTTAAACACATGTCAAGATCGATTTGGAGTTTCTTCAACTTTTTATAACCAAACTTTAAATCTTTTTTTAGATCCCGTTAAAACACTTTAACGTACTGTTCAAATTTATTTCGGCCCTTTACCATCCACATAAAACTAACGCAATCGCTCCAATAATTGATTAACTCGAATGCTTTTTTTGTCTACCAGCTGAATTAATTGCATTCGTCAAGTTTATTGACATGATTAAAAAAAAGTTAAATGCAAAATTTTTCTTGCTTTAGAATTAGAATGTATCATCGTAATTCTTGGTTAGAAAATGTGTATATACATACGGCCATAAGCTTTGATCTCGTCTTTTATCACTGTATTCGTAGCAGAATTATCTGAACCCTGCGCAGCCGATTTAGTTAACCAATAGAACACACAAAGACTGTATTAGCTCCAGCCCCAGCCTCCGCTGATTTGAAAGTCCATTTGTCTTTTTATATAATCTAGCAAGGCAAGATTACATTGTCGTTTTATAAAATCATTCGAAAGTCTTTTTTTAGATCTTTACCTAACTCGATACATGTACTAATGATTTGCCTTTATCGTTATCCAAGAGAGTTTATAATCGCTCACTCTATATTTTGATAATCCAAAATTACAGAAGAACTTAATAAAATTCCTGGAAGATGGCTGTTATATGGACTTCAATTATTAATTGAGAGGCTTATCGGGACTTGTGATTTCATTATATTGATTTTTAATTGGCAATCATGTCAGAATTAATTTTAAATACTTTTAATATTCATGATAAAATTATTGAATTTATTACAGATAATGTATTAGCAATGTTGATATATGGAAGAAAAGTTGCTTCAAATTTTGATTCAGTATTTTGATCTTTTTTATTAACGATCCAAAGCTGCTGTGGATAAACCATCGCTCTTCTTGATGATCGATGTCCTGAGGTCCTTGATTGGCCATCATACTCCCTGGACTTGAATCCGATCGAAAATTTATGGGAAATCCTAAGAAACGTGTAGAAAAGAAGGTTAATAAATGCATTAGTGAAAAAAAAACCGGTTACTAAAGAGTTTTTTATGGATACTATTACGAGTGCATGGGGTAGAATCAATGAAACCCTGTCTTAACCTAGTAAATAGTATGAAAGAGAGGTAAAATTAGTAATTGCAAAAAATGGTGAAAGAATTAATATTGAAAGCTATATTTTATTAAATATGTAGTATTTACCTTAAATATGGTGCGTTTTTAATAAAAACTCGTGAAATTAATTGAATTTTTTTTACTGCCAGTTAAGGGGTAAATAGAAGGTTTGGGCTGGAAATTAGAAGAGTTTTTGATTATTTGGGGTAAGTTAAAGGAGGAAGAAAGGAAAATTGTGTGCTTTATATTCTATTAACTAATCGATTTTTTATCTAGACCAAAAGCCTTCAATGAAAAGTATGCTAAAATTTCACAAAAATTATGTAAAAGAAAAAACTTAGTTACGCGTTCGTTTGTTTTGAAGAATGAGCGATCTATTTGTGCGTAAAAAATATGCTACATGCTGAAATTATGCAATCGACTGTCTTGGGAAGGGGCTGCAATTATGCGGTCTATTGTGAAGAAAAACGTGCTACAAAACATCATGTAGAAACATACAAAACTTTGCCAACTGGCCATAATTTTTTCGAATTAGTGAAATTATCGAAGTAATGGTAACGGTACGAAATCGAAGATAAAGTTAATTGATTGCCAAAAAAATGAGTACCGGTGCGTTGAATACTTCAAATATCAAAAACAAATTTATAACGATGAATTGTCTAGTGGAGATAAAGATATCGACGATCTAATAAAAGAATGCAACAAAATTAATTATAAATATGAAAATATATTCGAATAGATTCTTTTTGAAAGATTTATCAACGTTGAATATCATGCAAAAGGAGGATTTGGAACAATTTATAAAGCAGCAGCCATTATTAGATGAAATGAGGTAAAAAATGAATGTTTCTTCTAATGCAATCAGATTTCAAACTGGGCTTAAATGCAGTTTTACGGTTATAATTATTATCGTTATCGTTATCGTTATGGAATAACTACTGATCTCCGTAAACATATTACAACTTAACTTGGGTATCAAAAATTATTTTTATTTATCTATGATCTAAAAGATTCACGAAGAAAAGTTTGCACATCATGACTTTCATCCTGGAAATTAATGTTTGATAAACCTCAAAATTGCAGATTTTGAATTTAGCATTCCAACAAATATAGAAAAATCTAACCAAGAAATTTATGGAGTACTTCCTTATATGAGTCCAGAGGTGCTAAATGGAAAGAACTTCACCAACACTGCAGATATTTATAGCTTTGGAATGGTTATGTATGAGATTGTAACAAGCGAACGACCATCTGGTGAACGAAGTCATGATATACAGACATTTATAAAGGAATACGACCTACGATACCAAATAATATTCCCGGATATTGTAACATTATTGAAAAATTTTGGGATCCTATTCCTGTAAAGACAACTGCTGAGGAACTTACTTTATCAGATCTATGAGATATGACTACGGTTTACTGAATATTTTGCATTTTCAGTGCTATAATTCTTTAGGACACCCTAAACAGAAGAAGAAATCAAAGAGTGCGTTAAACTAGAGAGACAGAAAATTTAAACAGCTTGACGAGGAGATGAAATTACAGAAAAGCATTCTTACGAATACAAACAAATCCACTCAAATGCAATTTACACGAGTCGAATGTTTACTTCAAAATTAATATCAATCCCAACTGATGCAGGTACGCACATTTATTTTTGTAAAAACGACATTTCAGATTGATTTATCAAATATTTATTTAGGCAGGTAAATTTATATTTGATATTATCAATTTGTTTGATTCATTAGTGATTTTAATATTATTATAACACACGAAATCGAAAAAAATGAAGATATGCCTTGTCAGAAAACCATAGATTTAGATATTAATTTTAGCTGATTTTACAAGAAAAGTGTTTCAACTTCATATGTTTACGCATACATTTATTATTTTAACCGCTATCATATTTTATATGTGTATTTATAAATGTTTTTTATTGTTTTTTGATCTTTACATAGTCATTATCGTATAATGTGAGAGCATCTTGCACGTGCACACTACTAAACCATCCGATCGCTATGTATAAATGACAATGCCGAAAGAGTATATGTATAAAGAAATTATGTTAAAATCGTTACGCAAACTAATCAATCAGGGTTTCTAAGTATAGATAGGACTGCTCTAATACGTCTTAGCATACAATATTTAATTGTAATTAAGAATCAAGCTCAAAACAAATACTCAAATAATAATGGATAGAGATCAGAGTAATGATTTATTGACAATACAAGGAGGAGGAGCAACTGAGACACCGGCGTTCATATGAGAAATGATTACATTGAGTTTAAAGATATTTTTTTAAATACAGAGGCCCAGTAAAATATTTTTAAATTTGAATATCAAGCTAAATAAGCAAGAATAAAAATAAAATTTTGAATTCTTGAAAAGTTTAGCTTTCAAACAAAAAAAAGAATAAAAGTTTTTAGCTATTATAAAATTTAATTCTTTATTTACTCAAACTTTTTTCACGCTATATTTTTAATACAACTATAAAATAGATTTTAAAATGAGAAAAAAAGAAGAATTCAGCCTCAACCAAGACTGACACGTTTCTTGTAAAAGTTTTCCTTAGAGCTATGATTTTGGACAAAATCTTCCAAGATCGAGATATCCAGCATCTGGATTATCCATGAGGAAAATATTTCTTAATAATCTGATTTAAGCTGGTAATAGTTAGCATAATAATAAAATATTATAATATTTCAAGACGAACATAAATTTTACCATGTCTGTAACCTCTTGGATAACATCTCAGAAAGTCTCAAATACGTGATGATTTACCTTTTGTTTAGAAACTAATTGCTGTTCTTACTTGCCTTGGACAATCTGACGTAAAGTCGTCAAGTTTAATCTATATCTCACTTCATTATCTTGTTCAGTCAAAGTTGCGCTAGAATCAGAATTCTGCAAAGGAGTTGCAACTAAAGTGCCAATGTTAAAGATGTGAAATTTTTGAAATAACCATAAGATATTCTTTTATTATTTTCTTTCATATTTGCATTGAGAACTTTAATTCTTCTGAGACGTTTGGACAAACCAAGTGCTTTATGTTGCTTGTTTCTATTATTTCACTAAGTCTCTTGAGTACAGTTTTGATATAGCCTCAAGATGACGAAGCCTAATTAGTATTTTTTTTTAAAAAAATTTTCCAGTTTCCGTGACATGAAATTCAGCTTCATTTTCTTTCATAGTTGTTTCAGAGATACTTTTTCCAATAAAGCAAGAAGTAAACAAGCCATCCGAAAATAAACAATAATAATAATTATTTACATCACGAGAGCTAAGATTACACTATAGCAATTGTAAATAATAATTATTTACGCTTTATATTATTGCTCGCAGCAAATCTAATAATGCGTCATTACCAATTGATGTAGATGTTTTCCGCTTGTGAAGTGGAAGTATATATATTGGAGTTGCTCGCTTGATCCAATTTGGAATCAGTCCATGTCTCTATTAATATTGTGTCCTAATGATTCAGAAGCACGACTGTATGACATCCTCTATCTGTGTCTTGAGCAATTTCAACTGGTTTTCTACGTTTAGAGAAAATCATGATCCTTATCTCATAAAGGTGAGTAATGATGACAAGCAAAAGTATCCCTTTCAGCATGACAGTGTTCCAATGGACATGCAAAGATGAAATCCACGAAGAGCTTCATTTCTGAGATATTGCACGATTTGATGTACAAATTTAGGCTCACTTCCTGTGGTTGAGTTCGGACACAATCAGGCCCCGGAAATAAGGTTTTCCTTGGCAAAAGGTTTGCCAGAGCCAAATCGAATGCTTTGTTCATGCTTGCCACGAATTCATCAGAAGCTTGTGAAAAGGTAAGACTTGGGCCATCCTTTTCATGAATTCCATGTCAGAATTGATGGAATTTGATTGAGTATTGACTATCTTGATGCATCTTCAGGATGAAAGCTTTTTGAATTCTTTGCTAATGAGGGTATGATACAAGGATTAATTTCTTGATAATGCAAACTTACATTCAAATCCAAATGATCATCACATATTGATAACTATACCTGTCTAGTCGTAGATGGACTTTTTCGCTGGTTGATACCCTCTTCCGTTTATCTCGCTTGGCTCAGCCGAGCCTGAAGGAATCCCGATTATCGCAGCAGGGATGGTTGAACGAGGTTTTATAGAAGACGGTTTATGCTTTGAACTTTGTCTTTGACTAGAGCTGTGGACTAATTATGTATGCTGTTTAATTCTAATTCCTGTGCCGATATCATTTTATGTGTGCGACTTAAGGGAAAAGGTGAGTGAATAGGAGGTTTTGGGCGTGGAAAATAGAATAGTTTGGGATTATTCGGGGTAAGTAAAAGGGGAAAATTGTGTGCTTTTTATTCTATTAATATTTATTTAGACAAAAAGCCTTAAACTAATCTATCGATCAATTGATGCATTTCTGGATCAAGGACCTAATCAATGCGATGTCTTTTCTGGCGCAAAGGACCTAACCAATACGTTACGATACGACGCACGAAGATTTAAACAATATATGGTATTAATTGGGGAAGAATTGTACGCAACTGCTTCTTTTTGGAGGAAAACTTTGTGTTATTTTTATTTTATTTTTCGTTAATTGATTCCTTTTTTATTGATGACGCCAGGGACATCCTTTATATACATTTTCGTTGAAGCCCTATCAACTAAAGAAACATTAATTACTTCATATAAATTATTGTACTATCGGTATTTCTTCTCCAAAGAATATAACAAAAATAATAAAATAAACAAAATAATATAACAAAGGAAAGAATTGTGCTGAAAGATTCGATGAAGAGTGTGCCGAACTTTCAAATTATGTTAAAAAAATACTCTAGTTACGCGTTCGTTTGTTCTGAACAATGGGCAATCGATACGCGATCTATTGTTCGGAAAAATATGCTGGAAGACATACTCCTGAAAAACTATTTTAGAACATACAACTTGCGTTAGATCGTCAAGTGGTGGGACAGGCTGAACTTGCCGCCGTATTTCTGGAATCGAAGTAATGGTAACATATTAAAAAAGGCAATAATACAATGAAAAATTGTCATTTAAGTGATGTTTGTACGATTGTTAAAACGGCGCTGTTCTAAGAATCATACATGTACATGGTTTGCTGTACATGTAATGATATTCATATTATGACTTATATATCGACGAAGGCATCTTTAACGCAGTGAACGTTAGTAACATTTTCCATCCATAAGAATAACGAAATGGTTGGTTGTATTCCATGTATCCCAATTTGCATTTACTGTAATTATATATGTAATGAGAAACGGGACAACCCTATCATTCTTCTTTTTGGTACATTTGGCACATTTGCGTAACTTCATAAAAGAAAAAAGCATGCGGCTATTTTCAATTAAGGTTAGATTGGCATACAAAGTGTGAATGCACATCCTGAACTGTGCCAGGTACGTGGATTTTTCCCAGCAACCAATAAGAATGCATAAATTTTTATCAAGTCCGGGATCGACAAAAACTGGCACAGATTCAGGACATGCTGTGTGAACATCCCGGCATTGTATGTGTGCTACTAATAAAGTATAATTTCGTTTTATTGAGATTTTGTTCTTTATAAAATGATTGGGTGAATTTATGTTAATAAACTATGTGGAACAAAATTCTGCGCGTTGAGGCCAAGAGGAAAAGACCTTAAAAGGAAATACAATGGGTAAATCATTCTATCAAAATCCTCGCTGTTTTGGTTTTTTTCTTTTTCTCTATATTGCACTCTCTTTCTCGTTTCGGGTTTCTAATAAGTGGGTTCTCTTTGTATCCCAGGAAAAATTATTGGTTACTTGTATATTTTATTATTGTTATTATTATTATTACTATTACTTTGGTTCCTAAAGACCATCATTTGAAAATTTCAAAGAGAAATAAAAAGTGTAACGTTTTCAAAATTGTATAATTCATAATACTCATTCTTTCATTTTCTCAACAAACGTACACATTATTTTCGTAAATACATGTGTCTTCGCTAGTGTCAAGAATTAAAAATTATACGTACACACAAACATACACACACACACACACACACACACGCGCACACATATTATATACGCATACACACATACAGACAAAATGCCCTTTACGTATAAAATTTCAAAAATTATACCAAAATTCCGACACATAGCCAAAATTACGAAATCAAAAACCCGAAACCATTTAATAATACCTCTACTAAACGAAAATGTTCTCTACGAAATTTTCAGATACTTAGAAACCGACTACAAGTCTCTCCTTTCTTGTATTTTAGTTTGTCGTTTTTGGTGTCAAAGTGCATTATCATTCTACTGGGCGGAACCGTTCCATCATTTAGATCATAAATTAATTGTATCATCTTACATACGATGCTTGGACTTCGATGAAAGGACTGCATTAGTTAGGAATGAAGTAGTAGGTGCACGATATAATTATGCGAAATACTTGAAGAGCTTAAGTATGGGTACTCTTTATGGTGCTGTTGAGAAGTGGGTTGAACACACTGAGATGGTTCCTCGAGGACGTCGTAAACAACATCCACAACAGAGATCTAATTCCCAACGTATTCTCGACATTTGCCATTCGTTATGCCGTCTTTTCATGAGCAATGACGGAAATATCCTCAATCTTACACTTGATTGGGGTGACATAGACTTTTGGCAAAAGTACCCTTCAGAAACATACTTTGATAATGAATCCACTTCTCTTGTGAATCTAAGTAGACTCTCAATACATTACATCTACGACTGGCCAATCTTTAAGCATTTAGCAAAATCAGCAGTAAACATTGAAACTCTCGAAATTCTTGGTTATTCATTATTTCCCGCACCGAAGCAATCATATGAAAATGATTTGGGATTGTTAATTTCGAAGCAAAAAAGATTAAGAATATTTAAATTGTTTGGGTATGGAACCACGCCATCGAATACAATTTCCGCAATCGCTAGTCAAGCGAACTCTCTTCATTCAGTGGAAATTATTTATGTTCATTTCAGTGGCACCTCTACAGTTCGGGGTCCCTCGTTAGAAGGATTGGCCGCTTGTAGAAACTTGCGAGAAATAGTCATAAAATATTGCACTTTCGCGAATGATGGTCAATTGAAACCTCTCGCTTCGGCGATATTTCCGTATCTACGAAAACTCCATTTCGTTGAGTCGACTTATGGATGGGATGAAACGATGGTTGCTTTAATTAGGAATAACTTTCAAAATCTCGAAGAAGTGTTCTTCAAGCCATCACTTAATGGACTTTCCATACCACAGGGTAAACCATATTCCACAGAAATTGTTCAAGTAGTCGAAAAATTATGCCCAGCCTTAAAAACTCTGGGTATACCGGTTGGTTGGGATGAATTGTGCTATCTCAGAAATATTCTCAGAAATCCTAAATGTCAATTACGTAGTCTCAGCTTATTTCCCACCTCGCCATACACCGGTACTCAGATCATGGAAGAATGGCCTGCCTTTGGTCCATTAATGCCAATTACCCTGCGTCACTTGAACGTATGTATAAAGATGAATGACGAATACATGAAATCATTTTTGGAATCGATTCGTGCACCTTTGGAAACTTTATGGTTCGATGCGTGGTTGTACGTTACCGGCTATATTTGTTTAATCGTCTACGATTTCATTAAAAAAAGAGACCGCGTGAACGATCTTGGGTTAAAACAGTCAGCACGAGAGTTCTTAAGATATGTCGTTTAATTTATTATTGCCCTTTCTTTTGTGCATTGCCAGTTAGACCTGTCTTCTTATCTCCGATTTTTAAGTTTTGTACTATATTTTACCATCAATTGCGATTGAAATGTACAAATATTTTGTATTTATAGGCATTTGTGCAAAATTCTTTTACATTATTATATCTTTATTTTTTTAATTTTTCGGCATAGGATCTTTGCTTTCATAATTTTATTCCTAGAATAGATTTAAAAAAAGACAGTTTATATAACCTATTAAAAATCATCTCAATTCACGAAATAAAATAGTATCGATATCTTTTTTGAATATTGCATAATAAAATCAAATTTTTAAATATGCACGATATTTCGTAATTGCTTGTATGAACCATCTTGAAAATTCAACCGTGAATACGTATACTGAATCAAATAGTTTCAGTTAAAGATTAGAGAACATCCTGCCTGATAATTTTGTTCGTTTCTATTAATTACAATAGCGATAGGTAACATGTTCATGTATTATGACACTTTAGGGAGTACATGCACATGTACTTCTACAAAATTTACAAATATACATCTTGTCTTGGATTTTATTTTTTGCGTGCCGGAATAGAAAGGTTCTCTATTGTTATACATAAAATCTGTTTCCGAATCTGAAAACCTTTCACATGTACTTATCAAAGAGAGTTAATTAGGGAATGGTTGCAACAGGGACATAAACAAATCTTGATGAAGCGTTTAAACTCTTTTGAACATATCAATAGAAAGTTACATTTTTATAAAATTCGAAATGAGGATAATCTTATTATCGTTACAGGTAAGTTTTAACGTTAAAGTAGGATTGGAATGTCAAATCATAAAATGCTACATTTTTTTTTATTAAACAAAAATATTTGCATAAGCAAAAATTTAAAACTAAATATGAAATCAAGTCTACCGACAATCTAATCCATAGGAATTTCACCGCGAATCTTTATTTCCTTTTTCACCCACTTTTGAATAGCGCGAATAAGAAAGGGGTGTTTCGGAATATACTTTCTGATAAGGTATTTCTGTAAGTTAGCCGCCAAATTTACGCCCACATCTTTATTAACTGCACAATCGGTAAGTTCCTGAATCAATTCAGTGCGATTCATATCGGTGATTCTTTCACGACGATTATAATAGGCGATTAACTTGTCGTTGATTGCAGTTCGTTCCTCGTACGGTAGTATATCTTTCTCTATTTCTTTTATTTCTGTGGATTTGGACTTGGAATTTGAAGGTTTTTTAATGATGATTGGTTTTGTTTCAGATTGCTCTGATTCAGGATCCGGGTGCTGGTGACGGCGGTGGTGGTGATAATGACGATGGTGGTGACGATGTTTGTGACGACGTTCGTTTTCTGAATTTATTTCTTGATTATTTTCCTGTAAGAAGTCTAAAGACTGTGGCATCAAATTCAAAAATTGCGACACCACTTCTGAGTTTGATTGTACTTGTTGAATATCGATTATCGCAGTTTGCAATCTTCTGAACCCTTCTGCCAATTCAGATGCTGCATCTGACACCTAAAAAGTTTCACTCAAGTTAAACTATTTATTTCCAAATTTATATCCAAAAAAAAAATATACCCACAGCTCTAAAATCCTCTGGTAATTTTTGCAAGCTATTTATCCAATTAGGTTCCAATTCTTCCGTAGCTAAATCATCATTTTGACGTATTTGATTATTATCGCTATTGTTGTCGATCTTTATTATTCGCTTGCTTTCTTCACCTCTACTACTACCGCTTCTCCTCCGCTTTTCACGCATTTATCCAATAATATTTGGTGTAAAAATATAAAGGTAGTTATTAATGATTATTATTATTATTATTAGTTGATTGTAAATCTATATTATTTACAAGTGTAAAAAAAAAATGAAGATCGTGGGTGTAAGTTGTATTTACTGAGCATGCAAAAATGGTCAGATGATTGACTTTGCTACCCTCGTAAAAATGTTTAACGTTAAATGGTGAATCTCTAGCACTAGTTAGAAACACAAATTGCTTTATGCAGTAATCGTCTTTTTTTTGTTTATTTTAAAATACATGTATTGGCTATCATTAGCGTTAGCAGTTATTTTGAGATGTTGACATCTCGATTTTGTTTTTTAAAGCGGAAATTATCCCAATGTGATGTGACCATGCTTTTTTAATTAAGACGAAACCGGCAAGTTTGTAAGATAATGTTAAAAAGAAAATTGTTATTACGACAACAGAAAATTATAAAAGATATAATTAAAAATTTAGGTAGTAATAAAAGAAAATTAATTCACTTTTAGACGAACGCCTGATTTTTCTCACATAAATCTCAATCTTATTCATGAAAAGCAACAGCAACTTCACCACGCGCAACTTTTTCTTTATCGATCCATTGTTGAATTGCGTGTAAAACAATCGAATCACACGGAATCGTATGTCGACGTAAATATCTTCCCACTTGTCTGTCCAGATGAGCCAACGGAGGAGGGGTAACGCACAAACTTAGTAATTCATCGGCCAATTCCGGATGAGTTATTGGCTCGGTAGCCTTACGACGTTGGAAATATCGAATGAACTCTTCATTCAATGCTTTTCGTTCTTCTTGCGTCCAATTCTCATGTTCTTCGCTAGATGCCGACGCTATCGAAGCCGTGGCATCTGGAGAAGCTGAACCTCCGTTTCTCATGCCGGAATCACCGGGATTAGGTGTTGGGGTAGCTGGTCGCATTGATGTGTATGTTGATGGTTTACTGGATGAAGTCCAATTCTGCTTGTTTCCTGATATAGATTGAGGCATCGTCGGTGTTGAGTGAACAGACGAATTAGTTCTTCTCTCTGCATTCTGAAATTGAGATTCTGGTCTCGTTGGAGTTGCAAAATTACTAAATGGTGTGTTCGCACCATTGGTCATATTGCCATTTAACGGTTGGTGTCTTGGCGTTGGAGTCATTTGCCGATTTGTTACTATGGAAGCTGGAGGTCGAACTCGTAACGGCATTCCCATCACTTCTTCTAAGAGATTTGCAACATTTGGTGTTGGTGTTTCTTGGAGCGTATCAATAGCTTCTTGAAGATGTCGGAATCCATTAGCCACTTCAGAACAGGCGCGAGAAATCTAGAAATATATCAAAAGATTCTTGAGTGATCAAGCCAAAGAAATCTCACCCAAAAAATAAAGATACCAACCGCCTCAAATTTGTACTGAAAATCAGTTAACCACATCGTTTGCACGATTTTACCCTTCTGATGTTGCCTTTGTAGTAAAGGTGGTGTACGTCCGTCATCGTTATTCCGCATCGGGACAGAATTACCATCAATATTATTTGCACTTGAAGTAGTTCCATTCAGATTCATATATTGGTCATTCATCATAGTAAACGATAATATATTACTTTATACTATTACGCTGAATTATTATTATTATTATTTTATGACTATATTTATAAAATGTCCCGCTATAAAATAACAAAAAAAATTATTTTCTCGCTTTTACAATAATTGTACGCAAAGGTTTCCCTCAATAAAATATTCAGCTTAGAAAATAATATAAAAAAATTCACCTCGTTATCAAACAATTTTGAGTAAGGCCTGATTTTTTTTTCAAAAAGTTGTTGGGTGGAGGCGAGGATGATGATGAGGTGGGGGGCAGGTATTTTTTGGGGGGTGATGATGATCTCCTTATTGTTGTTAGCGAATAAATAATTACTATGATGAACATGTACTACGATGGGAAGCCCATTAGGCGGCGTAACTTGTTTTTGGGAAAAACTAATGCATCAATGGTAACACACACATATACACGCATACCTGAAGCACACGGTTTTATAATAAGAGTAATAAATGGGAATAAAAATCCTTAATTAGATATGGCCTTCCTATATTAATCAGTTATCAGAATAAAATTCTTGGCTAGATTTGAAGAATATATACGTAAGTTTGAGAATTTATTTTAAGAAATCATGTCTAAATTTTGTAAAGGTTAATCAATATTAAGTTTATGAGGATAAATTTCGAAGATAAGATATCTTGATATCTCGTTTTACAGAAAGCTTTTTATTTTTAAGTTACGAATAACAACAGTTCTGTCCTTTTCCGTAACAATAGAAGAGACACAATCATGGTGAGTCTTGATCTTCGTTTTTTGTCTCGTTAGAATAAATGCTTTACGATTCCCAGATTTCGATAATCCACGTACAGTATTTACATGTACAATACATTTTTTTGTTCATACCTGATACAAATCTAAGAAATTCTCGTAAATAATATCAACAAGAACACCTCAAAAAATCACCTTAGTGAAAAGTTAAATCATGACCGCAGCATTTACTCCCATTAACAGGATTTATTAATACAATTGACAAACAATGTGACTGCTGTGCATGCAGTGTTTTATGCACAGCTCTACCTTGAAAATACATACTGATGCTCGTAAATGCTTTGGTTCTGCACAAGCTAACAATCTCAAAGTTTGGACCATGGGAAAGCTGAACGTAATATTACATAAACAAAACTTGACCGAACTAGTTTTTCTTTGAAAATTAATACCAAAATGATTCATTTGTAGCTTCATTTGTAGCTGAATAAATATCAAAAAAATATATCATTTATGTTTTTTACACCTTTGCTCTCAGTTTTCTTTGTTTCTTTACCGTGTATCCGTATCATATTATCAAAAGGCCTTTCTTATAATAATAATACAATTCATTAAGGTATCCCGATGGGCTTTATTATTGTTTTAAATTGCTCGACGAAACTATTTGAATACCTAGAATTCTCTATACCAATTTTCAAAGCAAGATGAAGCATATGGATCGCCGAGTCCCTTGTCGACAAAATACATGTACACCGAGTGTGAAACAGCTGAACCTTCGTCTGTAATACGAAACTTAATTCGTAACTAAAAATATATTTACCGACTTGCATACGTGATACATGTACACGTCTTTATAACTAAGATTTAACTGTTAATTGAAATATATTCAAAATGTAACAGCCTTGGCAAATATTTCTTTAAAATTTTCACGAGCACCAAGTTTCACATACATATCGGTACGGATATAAAGAGAGGATAGGGATACGTAGTGGCGTAAAAGTCAAATGTAAAAAAATATTAATATCTAATATATTAAACAAATTATTTCTGTTATCTTGAATCCGAAGCCCTTCATCCTTATTTATAAAGAAACGCTCGAATTTCTTGAAAATTTGACGATAAAACGAAGCAAAAATATAGAACGAATTATGTTGCAATGAGGAAACTGGCTGTCCTGTCCTCTTCAGGTTCCTCACAGCAGTGTTATCATGAGGCACGGACATGGACAGTCCGGGACGGGATAAGTCCGCGTCTATGTCCGGGATTTTTATGTCCTGGACGTTGATGTCCATGTCTATTAGTATTAATGCCGGTGGCGGAAAATAAAAATCTTAAACCGAAAACAACTTATTCTAGCATATAGACACAACATAACTTACGTGATTATTTGACACAAGAACGTCTTGCTAAATTATATACCGCATTTTCAGCTTGACATATAATCCTTTTTAAATGCTTCAAATGACAAATTAATGCAAGGTATTTTGTGATCTTTTTTGTCATCATTCTTAAACTTACAACACCGCGATACGAATCAAACTTCATTTCATGAATAAAATATTCCAATGCCTTTGTCGCAACTTTTGTAAACTTCATATTAATTAGTATTGGGCATGTTGTTTGGCTTTAAAATGTTCTCAAGTATACCTATAGTTCATTGTGCGTATTGACGCACTATTGTCTTTAACATCTTATGGTTAAAAGATATTCTAAAAGAGCCATATGTGTAAGAAGCGGGTGAGTTTAATACTTTACTTTAATGCACGAATTTAATTTTCACAGAATCGAATACTTGAAACTTAAACAATTCTCACTGCAGAGATTGCATATAAAATTACCAACATTATGCAGCATTTTTTATGTTTGAAGGAATAAATTATACAGATATAGTGCATGCATTTACGCAAAGTAACTATTAACCAAGTCTTAGATAGCAAAAATTTTATGCAACTCACTATAAGCTTTCTCCACTTTTTCATTAATCGCCAATCGATAAAACCTTATTGCTAAATGGATATCAACAGGAACACCTAAACCACCTTGATACAAAACCGCGATATTATAAAGCGACGCATTATTCTGTCCATTGATAGCTTTATTGTACCAATAATAAGCCTTGGCAAAACTTCTCTCAGTCGCAATCCCACCTTGATAGAAATATCCGAGTTGATTTTGTGCAAATGTGTTTCCGGAATTTGCAGATTTCGTGTACCATTTAAATGCTTCGTTATCATCCGTGTCGCAACCAATCCCATGTTGATACGAGTATGCTAAATGACATTGACCATTGTGGTGCCCGTTTTCCGCAGCTTTTTGGTACCATTGCTTAGCTTCTGCCAAATCTCGATTGGTACCCAATCCGCTATAATATTGTCGTCCGAGTTGAAATTGTGCGTATCCTTTTCCACCTTGTGCAGCCTTATAAAACCATCCAAACGCTTTCGTCTCGTCTTTTTCGACCCCCTTTCCATTTTTATAACAATATCCTAGGCAAAATTCTCCATAATGATACCCCTGTAGGGCTGCTTTCTCGTACCAATAAAAAGCTTTTTGCAAATCAACTTCAATGCCCACTCCTTTTGAATAACAGTCAGCGACACTACATTGTCTTAACGGGATTCCGGCTTCAGCTACTTTAAGAAATGTCATGAAAGCTTTTTCCGGATCTTTTCTTGTACCCGTTCCATTTTCATAACACTCGCCAAGCCACCCTTCAGATATTATACAACCCTTTGCGGCTGATCTTTGGAACCATTTGAAAGCCGTTTCCCAATCAGCGTCAGTTCCATGTCCAAATGCATAACACCATCCAAGTTGATTCTGAGCCACCATATCATCAGCCTCCGCTGCATATTTATAATATTTGAACATTTCATGTTCATTGATTTCTGTTCCGATTCCATAGCAATAAAGAAACGCTAATAAAGATGACCAATTTGGCAAATAACGTCTCTCGAAAACCAATGAAAATATCTCGGCAGGATCGTAATTATTTTTACGAAGCCATTCTTGTACATGAACATTTATTTGATCGTCGTCTGCATTTTCGGCGTTATAACCATCGTAAATTTCCAATAGTTCGTTTATAAATGACATGAATAACCGGATTAAAAAAAATCGTTATTTCAGATTAACGTTAAGGGAATAAAGTACAGGGTACATCTATTTGACTGGTGTACAACATACCGATACATGTATCGTATTTATTTTGTGTTCTGCCAGTTTCAGAATAAAGAATATCGGTTCTGTAATTCGTTATCGTTATATCTATGTACACATTGTTATTATTTTATAATACATGATACATGTATAAAACATTCATAATGTTGTCAAAGTCCTTTGCAACGGTTGCATTGACCTAGTACTTTTTGTAGTATATGTGCTTTTATCAGTAAATCCGATGTTGTTATGACTTTTATTTGCATGCACACGTTTCGAAAAACATAACGATGACAAACAAGAAGTAATTCAAAATTGGTATTCAAATTGAAATACTTCACCTACCCCGCACATATCATGAATTGTATAAACATAAAATTATTCTAGTAAATTCAATTTGAGGCATTATACATCAGCCATTTTACGATGATATCGAAGAAAGGTTTTTGATATGTAGTGCATTATCTACTTTTTTATTAATGTAAGAATAATGGTTGTTTTAATTGTTTAACTTAATTTATTGATTATAAAAGAGCCTTATGATACAGAACAGAACAATGTTTATATAACGATAAAATTTAATGTAAGAAATAACAAAAATGATTGATAACATATTCGCCTTAAGTACTTCCAGAAGATGTGTTCAACAAAAAATAAGATATACTAATACATGTACATATACATGTAGTTAGAAAAATAAGAAACACAATATGAGATCTATTACTATTTCTATGATATTTAAATAAGGATATTAAATAATTACCAGTTAGTTTGATGACTTTCAATTCATTGCATTTTATGAAATGAACAAATTTTAAAATAAATTGATTAGTTGAAATTATATTTATTATAATTATTATTAGTTATCTGTTAGCTAAAAAATAGTAATAGAACTTATTAATTAATAGATAAGAATTAATATTCTAATTGTAATGAAACAAGTGATGAATTATATAAATTCAGTTCATTTGATACCTGAATGCTTTGAAAATTGAATTAAATAAGTCCAGTTCATTTAATACTGAATTTTTTAGAAATCAAATTATAAAAGTGATGAGTTATATATTAATTTATCAATTAAACTAAAATTTTACTTAGAAAAAAATAATATATTACT